TGTAATTTCCTATTGATTTCCTGAAATATCAGATTAAGCAAATACTTTCCTTAATCTTTATTCAACAATATCAACTTTTTTTTTAGTAATACTATTTATAGAATATTTCCCTGGTGAAGAGGGTTCAAAGAGAAGCCTATCTTTAATCAATTCTTTCTGAAAGAGTATACCGAATTCGCCTCTTCTATTGTTAGTATATATAATAACTATTTTTCCTTTGATCTCTTTTTCCAAAAACTTTATGAAATTTATAATAATTGGAACAATTGTTAAGGCCTTTTTGTTCTTGAGATATCGAATCCAAGAATATTTTGTTATATTGTTTATTATAATAAGAAAGTATTTATTATTTATCAGAAAGCAAGGAATATATTAGATAAATCTATATAAAATTGATGGATGTTTTCTATTATTCTGGATATATAGCTTTTGTTAAAGGTTTTGTTTATTTGTTCTAAAAAAGCAGGGTCCACATACTCTATAGCTCTAAATGATTTGTTTTTTCGCTAAATCTCAGTCCTATTAAACTCCTCTTAAACTTTTCCATCTGATTATAGTTTAAATAATCAAATCGCCTATATATAAGCTTTGCAAATATCTTATTTAAATCAATATCTCTTTTTTCTAAATCATTTTTCTCAAATGAAAAATTTGTAATAACTGAGATTATTAGTTATTATACTAGATAAACTTTTTTTTGAATCTTATAAAAAACCTCAAGTAACCGTTGTGCCAATATAACGCTATAAAGTTTTTGAAGACTATTTTATAGTTTTCCTTAATAAATTGGAATACTGAAATTAGTTGTATATTACAGAATTCTGGTATAAATTATACTAAAGAAAGTTCTATATCCTTAATCTTTACCTTTCCGTATCCAGTATATTCAACATATATATTATTAACTATTTTCACTTTTCTTGGAATAGATTATTATTGAAAATACTCAATATTATCAATGATTTTAATAAATTAATTGAAGATACCCAAATTTAGTATCCAGGTTGAATAGGGCACAGTTATATATGATTGTATAACAGTAATATTGTAAAGGAAAGTATTATTTTTGTATTCTTTTACTACTTATATAATCTATATTTTGTCCTCTGTTTTTCTTTGTTTATCTCACCTCCTTATTTGCTTTCTACATTTTGAAATATTTGATAGTTATATACCGGTTTTTTATAATAGAAATAATAAGTGTTTTCTGGTATTTGATTTGCTTCTTGATTTTTACTCTTATTTATTCAAATGTTATTCTATAAGCAACTGTTTTTATAATCTCTTCCTCAACCATTACTATAGCCTTAATCTTTAGATAAGTTTTTGTTATATTATTCTTGTTCTTTACCCTTTTTTATTATTAATTGTATTGATAAAGAATATAAAGGATTTGATTGATTTTTCGATTACACTAAGATTTGAAATAGTATTAATAAATAATAATCTTATATTTACAATAAAGAATCTGCTGGATTATTATTTTTTGTTTTTAGAAAATAATTATAAAAACTAATAAAAGATATTTATATTTATAATTATAGATTTGATATTTAATATAAATAATTGATAATTTTATAAGATATTAATAAACCTTTGTATTGATTATATTTTTGGATTAAATAATTCTCAACTGAATTTTGACTTTGTTTTGGCAAGATATTAAGAATACTTGGATTTGTCATATAATTTGAGAACTTTTCATACCTTTTGTATATCAAACTTAGTGATTAATTTAAGAATTAATAAATAGTGGATTACTTCTATAAAACTATTGAAGATAAAGATATTATTGGTTAATTGTTTTATAAAATCTATATATAATAAATTAGTTATAT